GGCGACTTCCAGAGCTACCCCGACCACCGGGTCAAGTTCTACGAGCTCCTGAAGGCGACCGGGTCGTTGCATTGTTTTTTTCCGTGGATGGCTTAGGAGGCCAGGAGGAGGAGGAGGAGGAAGAGGAGGAGGAGGAGGAGGATTTGGAGCACCAATGTAAACCCAAGATTCATCAACGATGTTGGAATACGCCCTCCCTCCAAGCTCCCTCTTCATAGGCCCCTACAAGGGTTCATTTCCATTGAGAGAAGTGCGCTGTTGTGGGACAACCGTGTGCAAAATCTTGACGCGTGCCAAAGCACCACTCTCAGGATTTCAACGCCACGAGTCAACCTGACTGTTTCTTTCGTCTTGACGACCCTGAATCTTGCCACAACACCTTCCCTGGGACTTCGACACCGCTTATCAACGTAACTGTTGCGTCCTGACAGTCCTGAATCGTTCCAAAACACAGTTTCTGGAACGTTAGCCATGGTAACCAACGAAACTCTTGGAACTGTTGGAAGCGAATGTGCGCGCCGCTGAGGCGCGAGCTACATTTTGAAAACGACCGCCCAGACTCAATCCGTGAAATGTTTGCGAATGTTGGAAACGAATGTGCGGTGCGCTGAGGCGGGAACCACATTTTGAAAACGACTTGTCCTCAATCCGTGAAGCTCTCGCACATGTTTAAAGCGAATGTGCGCGGCGCTGATGCGAGAGCCACTTCTTGAAAACGACCCGCCCTGCATCTGTGAAACTGTTGCCAGTTGTTTTAGCTTCAGGCTCATAAGTGGTAAGGAAGTCTCAGGCGAAACGCCCGGCCCGCCCTTCCGACTGTCCTCGGGGTGCGACAGTGAGGAGTTATTCAGAAGGAAATGTAATGGAGGATGAGGAAGAGGAGGAGGAGGAGCAGGCGGAGGAGGAGGAGGAGGAGGAGGAGGAGGAGGAGGAGGAGGAGGAGGAGGAGGAGGAGGAGTGAGGAGGAGCAGTAGACAGGAGACAGGAGAGGAGGCGGACGAGGAGGAAGAAGAGGAGGAGGAATAGGATAAGAGCGGGATTGGAAGGAGGACGAGGAAGAGGGAGAGGTAGGAGGATGGATAGGTTCGAGAAAAATGCTGGTTTCAGGTGGTATTCTGCTGAGGTGGGGAAGGAGGGATGCGGAGGAGGAGGGATATGCAGGAGGAGGAGGAGAAGGCCGAGGAGAAGGGAGTAGGAGGAAGGAGCGTGGAACCCCTGAGGGTTAGCTGACTCTTCCAGCGGGGATGCAGTCAGACACACCGTTGCACATCCATACACGCCGGTCGTTGAAAGTAGTTTTACCTATTTCTTCCGACCGACGGGACGTGGAGCCTCCTCTCCTTCTCCTCCTCGAGGGAGCAGCGAGGAGGGAGAGGCAGGCAGGGAGGTGCGAGGAGGTGCCAGGAGGAGGAGGAGGAGGAGCAGAAGGAGGAGGAGGAGGCAGAGGAAAAGTCGTGGAGCCCTCGGCGAAGGAGGGCGGGCGGGAATCTGGCCGGGCGGCGGCGCGCTGGCGAGGGGGGGAGCTCTGCAGGCCGACCTGGAGGTCACGCTCGGGTGTGCCTGTCCCGGCAGGGAGCTCCCAGGGCCGAGGAGGAGGAGGAGGAGCAGGAGGAGGATCCAGAGGAGGAAAAGGTACCCATACGGCTACCCCTCCCTCGTTTTCCGCTTTATCGGTTCGTTCTGGTTTTCCCCAGAGGAGGAGGAGGAGGAGGAGGAGGAGGAGGAGGAGGAGGAGGGAACAGGAGGAGTAAGAGGAGGACCAGGAGGACCAGTGCAAACTCAAGGCGCATCAGCGATGTTGCAATCAACTCTCTTTCCAATTCCCTCGTCAGATCTCCCAGAAAGAGTTTCTGCTCTGCTCAGTGCTGGAACTTGCCCATGAGCAGGCAACCGTCTGAGAATCTTCAACCGTGCAAAAACGCAGCTCTTGGGACTTCAACCCCGCGGATAATGCTGCGTCATAACAATCCTTGTTCGCGCCACAAGAGCCCTCCTGGGATTTCAACACCGCCCATCAACGTTAAGGTCGCGTCCTAGCAGTCCTAAATCGTGCCAGACCACCATTCCCGGGACTACGACCATACGCCATACGAGTCCTTCAGCTTGTTCCAATATTTGATAACGAGCGTACGCGACGCCAAGGCGAGATCCACATTTTGAAAACCACCCACGTTAAATTGATGCAGCCTCATAAGACGAAGCGCGCGGCGCGAATGAGGCGAGAGATATTTGTTTGAAGACGACCCACCCATGGCGTTGTTGAAAACTTCCAGATGAATGTGCGTGGCGCTGAGGAGAGACACACATTTCAAAACCACGCGTCCTTCATCCGTGAAGCTGTTGCCAATTTCAAGTTTCAGGACCATGAATGGCGAGGAAGTCTCAGACGAAACGCTCGGCCAGCCCTACGGACACGTCACGGGGTGCCACAGAGAGGAGTTATGTGTAAGGAAAAGGGTCGGAGGAATCGGGGGAGGAGGAGGCGGGGGGAGAGAAGAGGATGGGGGATGAGGAGGATGAGGCGGAGGATGAGGAGGGGGGATGATCGGGAGGGGATGTTGCGTCTTGATCTCTCCCTTGTCGCCTCCATGTGATTGAAAAAGTCTTGCGCTCTGGGCCAAGCCCATGGCACTTGAGGCTCCAGTTCATTGAGCAGAGACTCCCGCAGCGTCAAGGCGTCAAGGAGGAGGTGTGACGGCACTCTCTGGGGAGGGAGGGGATGTCTTCCTCGGAGAAGAGAGCCCACCCCGTTTTGCGCCTTTGTGCGAGCCGCCAGAGTCCGCGTGGACGTGTTCCCAGAGAAGTCGTGGCTTGAGGGATCGATTGCACGATACTTGTCGCACATTGTACCTCCTAGTAGGGCGATTTAATTCTTGGTTTGGACAAGGCGCCACTCTCCAGGTGTCGTGGGCATACCACATCCCCCGCTGAAAAGTTTCCCAAGAAGAGCTTGCCTCTGTATGGGCCCTAGCGGATTCACATGGTTAGGTGAGGTACGGCGCCGCGCCGATTTCGGCGGCACGCCCAGGTGCCCGGTAGCCCTACAGCCCTATAGCTTTATAGCCTTATAAGTTTATAGGCCTATAGCCCTATCACCCTATAGCCCTATAGCTCTATTAGCCCAATAGCCTATAGCCCTAATAGCCCCAATAGCCCTAGTAGCCCTATAGCCCTATAGCCTTATAGCTTTGTAGGCCTATAGCCCTATAGCCCTATAGACCAATAGCACTATAGCCCTAATAGCCCTATAGCCCAACAGCCCTATAGCCCTATAGTCTTATTATTATTATATATATATGTATATATGTATATATACATATGTATCGCCCTGTAGCCTTATAACCCTATAGCCTTATAGCCCTATAACCCGATAGCCTTATAGCCTCATAGCCCTGTAGCCATATATCCCTAACAATATTATGAGTGTTCTGTTTTTTCCCATCCGGTATCATGTTCGTGTGTGTGTGCGTGTTTGTGTTTGTGTTTGTGGTTGTTCGGTGCGGTTGTTCGGCCTTGTGTGTTGTGCCCTTTCTGTTGTTGTCTGAGCTGAGCTTGTGTTTGCAGGTGGCCTGCGTCAACCAGTCTACGTTTGCATCTCACTTGACTGTAGATCGTTGCTGGCGTGCCAGACAGGTTTCTAGATTGCCGTTCGCCTATGAGGTTGAGGTTGTTTTTGGCTCCCCTCTGGCACACCACTGTTCCAGGCCGCGCAAACGGAGTCAGAGGATCGCGCCGCATCGCTGATGCATTGGCGATGTGGCTCGATGTGAAGCCCGATGTTCTCCACGCCGACGTCGTCGATGCATCGCCAACTGCAGCGATGCATCGGCGCTGCATCGTCGATGTATTGACGATGCGGCGAGCTGCTCGGAGCCCATCTGGAAGGCCTCCAAGTGGGCTGCTTGCTGCTTGCCTGTGATACGATCCTGTCGCGCGATGTTGGTTTGGCTTGTCTCGCGTGCCTGCAACCAGCTTGCATGTATGCGTTGCTGGTCCCTGAATGCCTCGTACGTCGAAGTTGAGTGTGTCGGCAGATGGTGCCTCTGCTTTCCTTGCAGCATGCGTGCATACTGTGTTCTGACCCGCCTAGTCTGCTGCAACGGGCTTGCCTTCATATTGCAGTATTTTCTTCACGCCTTTCTATGTGGTTTGATAACGCATGCGCAAGTTGTTCAGCGTGCCTTCATTCTTCTGGTGGCCTCCCTCGGAGCCTCTCATCACAAGGAGGTGATCCCCACAATGGGTATCACAAGGCTATTTTCTTTCAGGCGGGGTGATGGTGAGAAGGGGGTCAGGGGGGCAGAAGGGGGACGGAGGGCGCAGAGGGGAGAGGGGGTCAAGGGCCGAGAGGCGAAGAGGAGTGGCAGGGAGGTTCCGTTACCGTACCTCGTTCTTTCTTTTTAGGTTTCTCGGAAGCCATCATATTACGGAGCCCGTGCGAAGAAGGACGGCACCATGATGACAGCAAGTCCAGGAGGATGAAAAAGCGTCGGAGGGGAAGGGCTAGAGGGGTGAGTGAACGAGCGGGCTGCGAGATATGAGGATAGGCAGGCACGACGTGTTGGCTCTCTCGCCTGCCAATCCCTCTCTCTCTCTCTCGCCTTCCTCCCCCTCCCCCTCGCAGGCACCGTCGCCTGCGCCTGCGTGGATGATCGGCCGTGCGTCTGAGGGGCCTGCCGTTCTCTGCCTCTTCCCTGCCTTCCTCCCTGCTCGGGTCTTCCTCTCGGGCCGCCCTGGCTCCCCGGCTTGCCTTTCCGGGCTTCGGCCATTGACGATCGTTTGTTGTGCAGGGCGACGGCCGTCGATCCACGAATCTCGTGGGCGAGGCCCTCGATCCTCGACCCTCGAAGGCGAATGTCAACTCCTCGATCTTCGATCCTCGACGGCGACGACGACGACGGCCGTCGACGATCGATGTTCGACGCCGCTGGAGGGTGGTGGCCGCACTGCAACAAAACATCCCCTCCCCAGCGCCTGCCTGCCGTCTCTGCCCGCCCCCGTCCCCGGCCCCCCCCCCCACGAGGCGATCAACACGCACTGCTTCGAGGCGCCTGCGCGCGTCACGCGCCCCCCGCGCCCGCGCGCCAGAGAGTGCGTCGTTAGTATTGGGGCATCCTTCCCACAAATAGCGCCCAGCGGATCAGCAACAGGAGGGTGAGAGGGATTAGGGAGGAGTGCAGGGAGGAAGGGAGTAAGGGAGGGAGAGGATGATAAGAAGGTGGGAAGCGGGGGGAACATGTGGGGGGAGATTTGGGGGGAGAAGAAGAGAAGGAGGAGGGGGGGATAGGAATGGAGAGGGCGAATGAACTGGGATGGAACTCCAAAAGGGGACGGCGCGAAATCAACATCCTCCGGGCGGCCCTACTCCCCGTCAGAGCGCTCGGAGGCGTCGTCGTCGGCAACCATGTCTCGCCGCGAGGGGGGGAGGGGTAGCAAGAATGCAGGGGAGGTGCGGCAGGTCCCGGCGTGTCGGCCCCCACACACATCATTCCCTGTGGGGCAAGGAAGCGTGTGACGGGTGTGCCGAAATGGAGGCGGATACCGCGCGCGAGAGCCTTGCCGCGGTGGCCGTCGGTGAAGCTCCCCAGGGGACCACGAAGCGAGCGCGAGGAGAGTGCCCGAATGGAAGCGGGTACCACATGCGATCCTCGCCAATGGGGTCGTCGGTGGAGTTCCCTATATGAGGCCACGAAGCGAGCGAGAACAGTCCCAAAGTGGAGGCGAGCACCGCATGTGATCCCCGCCACTGGGCCTCAGGTGTTGAGGGATGTGCCGAAATGGAGGCGGCTATCGCATGCGAACCCTGTCATTGAGGCCCTCGATGGAGCTCCCTGTGGGGCCACGAAGCGCGTGAAGGATGTGCAGAAGAAACAGGAAAGAGCAGCGGGAGGAGTGGACACGAGGCGGTGTCTCTTCAAAACCAGGGCCCAACACCACAGGATGGTTGGACATGGTGTCGGTCTCTGTCCGTTCCCAGAGGTGCTGGTTTGATTTGTTTGTTTCTCTCTCTCTCTCTCTCTCTTTCTCTCCCCCCCCGAGGCTGCAGTGGCCACTGCGGACGTAAAGGCCCACCAACACCATATTCGGTACAGGTGTGCTTCCAGAAGTCTGCTCGCTCGCGACGTTTCCCGTGAGTTGGCTTCTGCTGCGATCCGCCTGCACAGAGCCCCCGCTATCCAGATCGAGGTCATGTGGACGACGACGCCTGAACTCAAAAGGTCGGAAGTCTTGCACTTGTAGGCGATCACGGCGGGCATGCAAGTTTGAAATCCCATCGAGAATATGTTTGTCGCGTGCATGGGCCACTGAAGCCATGCCAAGGTGGCTTTCATCTCGAGCCGGCATCAGCGTTCTGTTCCGCTTGGAGCGACAACCAGTTCCGCTCCGCGCCCACCGTGTGCAAATCAGCTCACACAGCTGCGGATGGGGAACAAGCCCTCTGGATTTAGCACCGCCTGATCGTGAAGCCAGGCAGCCGGGAGCTGCTTACAGCGCGCCACGGCACGTTGGGGTTTTACGTGTTCTGGAGTATTTGCGGGTCTCGTTTTGACGTCCAGTTGACGGTGGGTTTGATGTCCAGTTGATGGTGGGGATTTGAAGGCGTTCGGTCATGTGTGCGGGATGTTGCGCTGAAGATGCCAAGGTTGAAGCGCAGAATATTGGCGCACGCCTCTGATGGAGCAACTGTTTCTTGACCACCAGTTGTAGACCTACCCGTAGAGATTTACAGGAGTTCAGCGAAGTTTCTGGAGACGTCATCGGAACCAGGGCTGCGTCGCGGCCTCCACGCCAGGCAGCAAAGGTCAATTAACTTAGAAAACAATCCAAGTTTCTCGTGTGGATGCTTCGGTTTCGTTGCGAGCCGAACGACCATTGGCAACAGTTTTGCTGACGCAGGAACCGCGCTGTGGAGCAGGTGGCGGGCATGCAGTCTTCGAAAGTCCAAGGCGCTCGCAGGGGTGCTCATTATGAGGGTGTGTTCCTGGCCCTCTATTGAGAGCACCATGGACTTCGCCGAGAGAGCGATCTAGGCAGGCCTTGGTTCTCCAACGAGGGTATGGCGAACGCATCGCCCAGGCATCGGCACGCTGGTTACCTTGAAGATCGAGCAAGTTACAGTGCGAATCGTCAGCTGGACCTCCAACATAGGCCCGAACCTTCACCATACACCCGAACATCCTCATCCGTTTTTTGCCAATCGGGCGCTACACTACAGATGGTACCAGAGATGACCGTGGGCGTTCGGGGAGTAGCGTCATTTTTTCGTCGGCGGCGTCCTCGCACAACCGTGATATTGCCGATGCAGCCATGGAGAGGAGGACTGGTATTATGCAACCATGGCATCATGATTAAACCTTGCGGCTCGGCCCGGCGGACCGATGCGGTGCCCTTGATCCTTGGGAGAGAGCCGAGCATGGCCTTGGCTAGCGGCCCGCCCTACCCAAGAAAAACGGAATCCCCCACACATGGGCCCTGAATCTGTGTGGTCATTTCGCCGCGACGATGGGGTAGGCCCAGCCTGACACGGGCAGGGACTGCTAAAGTCAGGGGGCGCATCTTCCAGGAGATGCCCAGCAACACCGCGAAGGAAGAGGAGCGATTCCGAGTAGGAAGTCTCATCCCGATACACGATCTCCTGGAGGCTAAAGGCCCTCCTCCGCTGCCTCCACGTACGTTGGCTCGCACTCGGGGCAACGGCAGACTCGATGATGCCCGCGGGCCCGGAAAGCTCGTGCGGTTCCGAAGCAAAATACGTCTTGTGCCATTCGACGCGTCGGGATTTCTAAGAAGAGAGCTGGAGGAGTAGCAGGCGACGACGAAGGCAGAGGAGGGGGAGGAGTCGGAGAAGGTGTACAGGGGTAGGCTGGAGAGGTCCAGAAGCGTCGTAGCAGGTGGAGGACGAGGCCAGCTGTCGTTGCCGACATCTGCAATCCAGCCACGCCCGTCAGATCTTTGCCCCAGTCCGAAATGCTCGGCCGAGGCAGGCGAGGACGGCCGCGCGACGCGGAGGGGGAGTGAGTGCCCTCCACCCGTCCATCAGAAGCTGTGATAGCCTCCCACATACCAAGCTCACGAACCGAGGCCCACTCCGAAATTTCTAAAGATCGGTTCCCGCCGCTGCTCGTAGCGGATTGGTAGCGGGTCCATAATTTCCCCCCCAGGCGACGACACGACGACGACGACAACGACGACGGCGGCGGCAACGGCCCACTGCGGAGCCGCGCAAAAGGGGAGCCTCTTCGGAGAACTTGGAGAAGGGGCAGGAGCGGATGAGGAGGAGGAGGAGGAGGAGGAGGAACGGAGGAGTAACAATAAGAGGAGGAGGGCGCATGAGGAGGAGAGCGCAGAGGGAAAGTGGGCAGGAGGGCGCAGGGGCAGGACGACGGGAGGGAGGGAGAGAGGGGGAGTCGCCTGGGCCGGCGAGGCGCTGTTCCAGTTGCCAGACGCGCAGTTGAAGCTGTACGTGGGCTCTTCTGTCTTTCTGTTTGTGTCTCTCTCTCTCTCTCTGTCTCTCCCGCTTCTTCATGATTAGGGAATTACCGAGGGTCGTGCTCACGGGGCGGCGCTTGGGTTGATGATTCCGGGCCGGGAAATTGTTTTGAATCGTGCCCCTCTTGCCATCGGGCGCGTGCTTGGACGGCCGACGGGTAAGACGCAGCCGAGGTGGAGGGTTAGGAGGAGGGGGGTGCAGAGGAAACAAAGGGAGCCAACAGCAGCGGGATGCAAATACAAATGGCGAGCGGGTAGGATCTATAGTATCAGGATATATACGATGAGGAGGAGCACTTGAAGATTTAATAGGTGCTGTAGTTGAAATTGGCATAGGATCCCAGCGGTAGTCGTAACATCACAAGTTGTCGCTGGGCCGTACGAAGTGTTGTCGTAGAAGATGCCGTTGGCGCCTTGCCTGTCCAGAATGAGCTGTAACAGGTGCTGTAGCGACAAGAGATACGTGGGAGCTGCTCCAGGGTCTGTAATTGGAGCTGGTTGAGATTACAATACGCTGCGTTGTAGAACATGTGGTACTGAGATGTGCACTGGGAGCTGATCAGGACATGACATATCAGGAGCTCGACCACGGTGTGAAACGGAATCGTTGTAGCATTCCAGTGTGATTCCAAATGGGCTCCATGGTGGCCCCAATCGGACTTCACGAACCCAAGAGGATTTCAACAGGTCCAACTATCAAACTGCTAATACGTTTGTGATTCAGATGGTCGGACCATGTTTGAACCGTGTCCTTGACTGTGCCAGCGTGAATCGGAACGCATGTTCATTTTTTATTTTCTATTTAAAACTATTCCCCCCATGATGCTTCATCGAATGGAGCCATGATGACTCAAGTTGTGTCGAGCTCGTTTTGACTTCACACTTCTGATGCCAAGATTGCTTGCGCAGTCCCAATGCACGGAAGCAGCTCGTGCTGCTACATTTTCTTCGCACTCCGCCGCCAGCCTTGCCGCTGCCTCCGTAGTGCGTAAGGCAGCGCGCCTTTTCCGTTTTTCGGAGGCGATGGCGCGGGCGGCCGTTGCGGCGCTGCTTGGATTTCCTCGCGGCGTGACTCTTGCTCCTGTCGCTGGCGACGGCGCTGTGAGGGTGCGGACGGTGGTCCAGAGTTGCCGCCGCCAGCCGGTGGCGTCCCAGAGGTTGCTTCGCGGGGTTTTTCTGTTTTTGCAGTGCCCCTTTTGGCTGCGGAGTTTGTTCCCGGCAGCCCGGCGCGTGTCTTGGCTCCCCAGGCCTTCTCGGGAACGCTTTCTACGCGGCGTTCGCGCGCCAGCTTAAGTTTCATTTTCGTTTTCGCTTCCAGAGGTCCTAATGTTGGCAAGCGCTGCGACTTTCCGCTGAGGGTCAGGCGGTGGTATTCGGCGATCCGGTGTCTCGCCCAGATCTGGCTGGCAAGTGCGGCGTCGTGAAGTTGTTCGACTCCGCCTCGTCGCGCTACGCTGTGTGCGTCGACGTCTCCGGTGAGATAAAGGTTCTCGACAAGAACTGTCGGGCGACATTTGTTGCGAGTGGTCGCCCCAGCTTACGTTCGCACTGCAGGTCCTGGTCGCGGTGGTCCACGTGCGAGGGGCATGGCGCGAATTCAAGCGCAGTCCCAGGCACCCTCGCGCGTTCGCTATATATATATATATATATATATATATACACTTATATATATAGAGAGAGAGATGTCTCTCTCTCTCTCTCTCTCTCTCTCTCTCTCTCTCTCTCTCTCTCTCTCTCTCTGTAACTGTCGCCTCAAATAAATGTATCAGGTGGCCGTCGGCCCATCCCGCCACGGTGCCTGGGTTGTGGGTCATAGGTCTTTTGAGTGTTTTGGGTGTTCGTTGGGATGTCGCAGGAGGGGACCTCTTGGGGGGCCGTTCGGAGGCCTCTAGGGGGTCGCGGGGCTTTGTGGGGCGTTGTCGAGGCCTCTTGGGAACCTGTTGGACTTCTTGGGGGCCTGGGAACCTCTGGGGGCCTCTTGGGACCCTCCTGGGGCCCTCTTGGGGCGCAGAGCTCGAGCTGTCTGTTCGCGGTCCCCCTCTTGGACGCCTCTTGGGACCGTCTTGGGGCATTCCTGGGCCGTCTTGGGCGCCTCTTGGGTCGTCTTGGGGCCCGCTTGGGCCGGTCTGGGACCGCCTTGGCAGGTTTTTCCGAGTCGTCTCGGGACGATCGTGGGGCCGTTTCAGGTTGTCCTGGAACGTCGGAAAGCCGAAAAGGCGAGGACCCCAAAGACCTTCGAAAACCAAAATGACATCAATGAGTTTGGCCTGCGCTTTTTTTGTTTCGGGGGGGGGGCGCTTAGACGCTTCTTAGGGCGTCATGGAGACCTCATGTTTTGGTTTGGAGATATGCTGGGCGTCTTGGAGCCATCTCTAGTAATCTCGGGGCCCTCCTTGGACCATCCTGGAGGCCTCTCGGGGCCATCTTGGCCAGTCTTCGACCCTTTCGGCTCCGAGCGCGCCATGCGACAAGACGCGGGGCCCTGCAAGCGGCGCTACGGCCTGGGAGGTTTCGCAATTGGGGCTTCGGGCCCTTTCAACGACTCTTCAGGAGTGGGGCCTGACAGGGGAAAGGGCCTGCCAGCAAACCCACTCCGCGCCCAGAGGCACGGTGGCGGATTAAGCGCCGTCCTGCATGAGTGAGGTCGAGTTAAAGGGAGAGAGAGATAGAGAGATGTACATACATAGCGATGTTGATAGCTAGTGACGTTGGTCAGCATGTAGGGGGGGGTCGTAAAGTATTTCTCGAGATGGCCTAGACGATCTGATCACGATGCGCTAGTCCCCTCTGGCTCTGGACAGCGACGCGATTGATCATACCGACAAGGACCTAGAAGCGATGCAGCAGCAGGCGTGGAAACTACGGCTGTGCTGAGTGGCTCAATTTTCTCCTATGCGAGCCGAGCTGCTTCGAGTCGCCCGTGCCCCAAACTGGATCAGCAAGAGGCCCCGACACCAGTGGTCGGCATCGGTGCCCAGGTGGATCGGCCAAAGCTGGGAGCCCCTCGCTCCAGACATGCATTGAGATCGTTGGCGCCCGGCACTCCTTGGGCCCAGGCTCTAGCAGCGCAGCGGATAATCATTCAAGCAGTGCGTCTCACCAAGGCGAACGGAGAGCTCGGCGTTCACGTCGAGCGCGTTGTCGTCTGGGCGCGCACAACGGACGAGCTCAAAATTCAAATAACCCTCCCACGTGCACGGTGGACTGCTTGGCCGTCGTCGAGAGGCTGCAATTGCAATCCAGCGGCGCATCTCTTGGCGGCTGTTGCACGAGGCCAAGCAACGTCGCGCAAAGAGGACGCATTACGCTCGCAATGCTTACTCTGCACTCCACAAACATGCTCGCAGGATGCTGGAAAGCATATCTTCAACCCCCTAGTCGACAGCTCGCGCAAGTTCGAATAAGTTGGGCTGCGACTAGGTTATCTGAGATGCCCGTGGGCCAACCTCGCTCGTTGTCCCGAGGTGGGCTTGTCGAGCGATCCATGTCTGGCGCGAGCGGCCCATCGCGCGCGCGCCCAGAAGCGTCGCGACGGCCGCAAGTCGCTCGCGACATGGAGGCGCGCAGCGCGGCGCGCCTGCGGCCCAACCAGCGCGCGCAAGCCCTCATCAGTATTTTCGCGGGCGAAGTTGCCGACGAGTGCACGGTTGAGCGCGGGGTTTCGTCTGTGTTCGTGATCGGTGCTCGCCAAAATCGCATCCTCGATGCCCCGATCGCGCATGTGGACCTGCTGCGAACTCACGAGAAGCAACAAATCCCCCTGGGCCCGGGCCCCTCGGCGTCGAAACGGCCCCGATGGGGCAGCGGGGGTTGCGGGGGCAGTCGCGACAAACGCTTGGTTTGGGCCGTAGGTTGCGCGTCGCGCTTCACGTTGGCTGAAATTCAGCGCGAGCGCGGAACTCTGCATGCCTGTTCAGTGGTGAGGTTATCTTTCCCAGGGGCGCGCTGTAAACGCGCGCCCAGTCGGGTGCAGAGTGCTTGGCGGAAGGGTCGGCGCCAGTCCATCCTGCTGCCTGGCCCCCGATGGATTCCCTGCTTGCAGAATATGTTCGCGCTCCGTTGAGGGGCGCGGCCAGCCTTGCAGATGGCGGGCAAGTGGGGTCGGAGTGTAACGCTCGCGCGCCGCTCGCCGTCAGTCTTTGCGCCGACCCACTTCGAGCCGCGCGCGCGCGGGCGCGAGCGGCTGCAGCGGCGCCTCGGAAACCTTGATCGGCCAGCTCAGTGCTTATAGTTTCCGGGGACGTCGCGGATCAGGGGTCCGAGCTCGCTCGAGCCTCGGGCGGCTTCGCGGCGAATCCCTTCGCCGAGCAGCTTCTCAGGGATGTTCAGGCGACGCAGGCCCTCGACGATGGCGCTGCCATCTTAAGGAGGTGCGGGGCCCCCGCCCGCGCGATCGCGAACGGGGGTGGGTTGGGTGACTTCCCGACAGTAGATGCGCGGGACTCAACGCCCCACTGCCAGGCGCGCCTCTGCGCGCACGCCCAGCGCGCGCGTCAGATCGAAAAGACGGGGCCCTACAGGCGCGCAGCACAGGGATTTGGCGGGGAGGAGCGCGGGGCGCGCTTCCGACGCATCAGAGTTGGCCGTTCATGGCGCAAAGCGAAGGTGAGGCACCCATGGAAGACGGTTGTTGGGGAGGCTGCATTGCGCTGCTAAGCGGCGCCTGTTCTGCAAGACCGCGTTCGTGGCGAAATTCAGCACCGCGCGCCATTTGGCCATGGGCACTAGCGCTAATAGTGCAGATCCGGAAGGTGTCAGAACGATGGCGCAATTGCAATGCATGTGCGACTCTGTCCAACGCGCGAGTTCGGCGCAGGCGATGTTTAGACGACCCGCCGTCATATTCTCAGCGTTCGCTGGAAGGCCGAGTTCCAGCAGCGCCGCGTCATTCATCCGAACCCGCGCGTCGCGGTTCGCGCCGCTGGTCGGCAACGGGAAGGGCAATGGGCGGAGACGAAACCATGAATCTAGATC